AAAAAAAAAAAAGGTTTTGTTTGTCTTTAAAAATGGCGACCAATTTTTTTTTTGCATTGGCTACCACTTTGAAAAATTTGGGAGCCATGTGGCTTTCAGGAAAAAAAAAAAATTCACGTCTTAAAAAGGGTTTTTTTGGTGTGGGGGAGGTGGAGGGAGAGAGTTAGTTTATCGGTGAGAACACTCACTCCCCACCTGTGAGGGCTGGGATTGAGACATTTTGTCTTCTGCGAAAACTAAGACCAAATTCTCATTCTTCAGGCGCTTGGTGGCAGGTTTGAATTTAAAATTTGGGTTTGTTCGTTATCAGCCAAAAATCGCCGTCAGGGTTTAAATCGCATTTGTGTGTGCAAGTTTTCAAATGTAGGCTTCGGGATCTAGTTGAAAGCATTTAAAAACAATTCGTGAAGGGAATGACAGTTTTCATGAGTTTTTTTAAATATTCCTTGCATGCCCGCACTCGATGTCCGTACTCTTAATAAGAACTCTTGAGAGCTTTCCCGTGTTTTTAAGGCTGGGGTAAACTTTTCACGTTTGTGATTTGCGTTTTAGTTCCAGAAGACCAGCTTGTTCCTGGGAGACGGGTGCTTGCCAGAGCTTTGACTAACATGAAGTTTTATGATCCGGGATATATTTACAAGGCTTTGGAAAACATGATTGGTGTCCACTTTGACGGCGGCCTCCACCGCGCCTATGATCCAAATGACATCACCGCTATGATGGTGGATAAAGACCCTGATCCTCACGCTCTGGTTGTTGGTACACCTGTGGTGGCCAAGCGTTCAAATGATTCATCTCATGTCGAAGGAAAAGTGAAAGAGAGGAAAGAGGAGAATGGAAAGGAAACATATTTAATTGACTTTTGGGATGGCATCGAACAATGGGACACTCTAGATCAGATTCGTATTCTCACCACCAATAAGCCAGGAGGTATGAAGTTTGAGGAGTTTTAGCTGTCAATTCCAGCTATGTTACATGTCTGTTGTCAGCATAGGTTCACATTAGTTCAGTTGTGTTGGTTGGGAAAGTTACGAAATCAGCTCGAATAACCGGAGATTGGCGTTTGCTTTCATCCTCCTTTGAACTGAACTCCATCGGATTCAGTGCGAACGAAGAACGCCGTTTAATATTTGTAAAAATTTAAATGAACTTCATGCTTTGCAACTGCATCTAAAATCAAAGATGAGCATGTAAGAGTCTGCCTCAATTTTTTTCTTGTAGTTCCTAGGGGGCAGATTGAAGTGTCATCCATCGTATTTGTCAGATTAAAAGACGACATGTACAGGAGAGGTTTTATCTCCAGCAAAACATACAGGAAACATGTGATACGGTTAATCGGTGAAGTGGCCACTATCAGTGTGGACGCTAACGACAGTGCGGCGGTAGTACCAGATGTCATCCCAGATGCAGCTTCTCTTACTGTTGGAAGAACAGTTATTGCTACAGTTGACACTGCTTTTTGGGAGGCGGGATTTATTGTTCAGATTCGGACACGAGATGAATCAGGACAGGACATTTACCGCGTCAGGTTCTTAAATGGTGGCGATACGTGGATTTTTAACATCAACAACATCCGTATCTTGATGGCAAGGAAACCTAATGGTATGTGTGGTTACCAATTTTCAATTGAGTTTCGAAAGTAATCCGGAATTGCTTTGGTTTTGCTATTCTGCACCATAGAATTGGACTAGAAAACACGTGCTACTTTCTCAACCAATCAGGTTGAGCTCTAAAAAAATTACAACTTGGTCGCTCGCATTTTCCCTCGCTTCAGGCAGTTGGCATGTCTTTAGTTTCGTTCTCATTAGTTCCGTGTGGTAATATCCTTTTTTCTCATTGACTGTTTTGAGATTTTTTGCAGTATTATCACTTGTAGGAATTAATGTAAATTATATGTAATGGTTAGAGAGACGCTAGAAAAAATGAATCGAAAGACTCTGGTAACTTCGCAAGCATTATATAATATTTTTCCTATTATGAAAATCACTAGGCAAGGTGCAAGGTGTATTTTTACCTACAAGCACAAAGGAATTGTTCACAAATGATTGGTTCTAATTGCCGTGAAGAGGACATAAAATCATATCCATTAAATAGTTCTAGTGTGCCTAGTGTAGTCTGCGCAAAACACTACGTAAATTCTAGTGCAAGCGTTTTTTCGATGGTATTACTTTCTGTACTACCATAATGAAAGTAATAAGGGTTGGGTGAGTAATAAGGGGTGGGGTGGGTGGAGGGGTGGAAGGGATGCGGACCCCCTACTGAGATGACTTGCCGCTTTCTAATATGACTAATATTCTGCAAAACATAAATCAAAAGTGTGGTGTTGAAGAAAAACGAATAACGACGTACTGATGACAGTCGTAATCCTCATTCTTTGTTGTTCGCTTTTAAGATTTGTTTACGTCACCTGTCCGTTACGTCATTCCTAAGTGGTGCACCTCCTCCCAAGAAAAATCCTGGATCCGCCTCTGTTACCCACTATGTCAAAAACTGTTATATCTTATTGGCTACTTGTTCTTATACAAGGGGTTACATACAGAACGATGGAAATCTAGAGTAAATGAGAATTTTTTTGCCTTGCTATTTTCTCTCTCTAGTCCCAGAAGGCATTTTAGACGTAGGCACAGTGGTGTGGGCACACACGTCCAAAATACGTTACTACAAAGGATTTGTCGCCTACAAAGGAACAAAGCTGCATGTTGATCTCTATGACGGAGATAAATTTGTGTACGAAATGAAAGATGCGTCACGCAGAGTGATTCCTGATGTGCCGCCAAAGGCGGCAGATATCAAACCTGGAACCAGAGTCATAGCCAAGTTTAAGAACAAGCCTCGGTACTACAGTTCTACAGTGATGGAGGTGGACGCCTCTGAGCCAAGCGAACCGATGTATCATGTGAAGCTTGACGATGGAGATGAGACGTGGGATTCTTTGTATCATCTCAGACTTTTACCCAAAGAGGTTCAAGTTGGAGGTACGTTTTAGAGTGTTTGTGTCAGCTCCTTCTTGATTTGACTGATATGAAAAAAAAAAACTGATTTGATAGCAGGCTTGCTTTGATGAGCAAACAATCGGTTAGTAAATATCTTGGGATGGTTTGTTATTATCCTTTGCGATTAACCTAAACGAAAAATACTGTATGTTTTATCTCTAGGTGAGGAGAAGCCTCCTAACCATGTTAATGCCAACGAGGCTGGGAACCATAAAACAGAATTGGTAAGTTTACAAGGGCGTGGCTTATCGGGTTTCTTAGGGTGCTTGTGAATTCTTCCCCCTTATTTGAGACACCGTTTTGTGACAGGCCAAGCACGTACACATCTCATGATTCAGATTTGAGAAAACAAGCGAATCCAAACAATCTAGCCGGGATAAATCTTTCCAATGCTGGGTACTCTATTGGTCCATCGCTCTTGCCGTTAATAATGCGAGCCCGTAAAAGACAATTACGTACGGCGCGCGGAAATCAATAACTTCCCATCCCCTCTCCTAAAACAAGTCTTAGCTGCGCCCCGGCTACTGGAAACATTTTAGATCCAGATCGGTCATCCTAATATTTTTAGGGGCCACCAGAGATAAATTTTTCTTTCACAACGATAATTCAAAATGTTATTTTCTTTCTCAGTTGCTTTTTGAAATGGAAGGATTTGACATCAAGCTAGAAGGTTTGTTTGGCAGCCAAGTGATTCCATTGCTGTCCGTTGATGGATCCATCCAAGGAGAAGTTCGGAACTGGTCTTCGGCGGTAAGTAAAAAAAATGTTATAACGTATGCTGTAGCAATTATTTTTTTGAAAGACAATGGTTCATTTTCATGTGAATCTTTATCAGTAAAAGCGGCTTTGAATCTTAATACCCCTTCCAACTTCCCCTTTTTCAGTCATAGTAAATGCTTTTCCTCGTTATCGAGTTTGATGAGATTTTTGTTGAGAATTATCATCATTACATTTTTGTTGGGTAGTTTAAGACACTTATGTTGTATTTTGGCATTTTTTCGTTGGTGTTATTATTTTTGTTTACTTTTGGTTGTTCCCTTTTATTTTGTTAGAGACCCGTCTCCCCAATGGCTGGTGCACTAGATTCTGTGTTAAAAAAATCCTAGTGTGGGCCTTGGAGCCCGTTTCACGAAAATTCCGGGTCGGAAGCCAAATTTTAAAATCAAAATTTAAAGCATAGAGAAGCAGGTCATGTCACCCTAGCAAGTACAATTCATTTCTTTAGCTGATAGTTAAATTGTATAATTTTCAAAACTTTTGAAATCCCCATCTTATATGAAAACAAAACAGCTCTACGGGCCCGTTAAGTTACCAGGGCTGTTTTGTTTTCATTCAAGATGGGGTTTCCAATAGTTTTGAGAGTTATACAAGGTGCGTAAAAGGATACCAGCGAATTCTCAGCGAAACCCCTACGA